GTCTGTCATATATGAAACCCTTTCAAGGCATAGGAAAATGGTTGTCATTATGCTTTTTAACGTGCTTTTTCTCATGTTGACGTAGATATTAATCGTAGAAAACTATACCATTGTTAAATAATAATAAAAAGAAAATAAAAATAAAATAAAGAAATAAAGAAATAAATATAAAAATAAATAAAAAATAAAAGTAAATAAAAAGTGCGTTGGAAACTCTGCCTTGAAAGGGTTAAAAATTCAAAATTGTGGCAAATTCAATTAAATTTGGCATTAATTCTCTTTAGGAGCGCAATTTAGTTGTTAAATGTTGCGAAAATTCGCGAATAATTAGAGAAATTGTGTACCTTTTGGTCATCCACTGCTATATACTCATTCTAAGAAGAATAATACGTATATATGTATGTATATATACTCCGCCTTTTATCATATCTGGCACGTCTTTTATGTTTCGTTGTTAGAATTGTAAACTTCCGTTGAAAGGCACTTATAACTTATTAGATAAAAAAATAAGAAGATATTTCAGGTCCCATTCGAAATATCGCCACCTAAACGTGAAAAGGTTCAACGCGGGCCGCGATGCTGGTAACAGAGGAAGAGGAAGGCCTCCTCTGCGTTGGAAAGACCAGGTGGAGAAGGACTTGGGTTCACTTGGCATTTCCAATTGGCGTCAGTTAGCACCGACGAGAAATGGCTGGCGTGCTGTTTTGGACTCGGTTACAGCGCCAATAAAGAAGAAGAAGAAGAAAGGTGAAAAGGTGCAAAGACAACTTTTTTTTCAAAATTGACAGAAACAACATCGATATGCTTTATTTAAAAATAATTTGTTTTTGTGACAAAAACTTGCGGAACCTTATTTTTTACTTATATCTTTTAGAATAAAAGGGCGACCATGATACAAATAAAATTATAGTTTAAAAAACTAAAACCTCCCTATTATAATTGCCATTCGTACTGTCATCAGGTATGTAACTTGAGAATAGAAATCGCTGCATCATTTCGGCGCATCAATATTACATATGTAGTTACAACCCGAGCTAATAAAAGGAAGGTAAAAAAAAGAAGGTAGTGTCACTTTGAAATTTTTTGACATTAACTGTGCTTATGACGTTTATACTTTTCGCAAATTGCTCGAGTATCACTGCCACCTCAAAAATTATTATTTTGGAAATTTTATAACATAATATAATAACAGCACGCAAGGTAAGTTTACTTAATTCATCGTATTAGCATAGTTGTTAACCCTCTAGTAGGCCAATTTTTTATGGGTTCAAAAATTCAGGAATGGGTGATTTTAGCACGAGAAATCCATGATGTCCAATGATGTCCATTTCGATCTGTGACAGTAACTTTCCTACAGGGGAGAAAAACCAAGATCTTCTGGAGACGGGCTCGCCCAGAGGGCTGTAAAGTTCCCAGTCAAACTGCACTTCTCACATTCAATCGAAAAATAGGAACACATGCTTGCGGTACCTAAAAAAAAGGAACAAAAGTAGAGAAAATCCCAAATGAGCGTACCTGAACGATGTTACTCGACGGCGCTCTCATTTACCAAATACGTGTTCCGCTATGCTCACATACTTAAGTATCAAGCAACCTGAACATAGTGTTTGGAAACTTCAGATTGGAAGGTCAAACTGCACGTGAAGTTTTATGTTCTTTTTATTGGTTTGGAATCTACTTATAACACGCGAAGACATATTTTTATACCCGAGCGCACTTCTGCACAACGGTATTATAACTTTGTCCACATAACGGTTGTTTGTAACAGGCAAAACGAATCGAGATAGATATAGACAAATGTATACATAAATGATCAGAATGATAAGAGAAATCAATTAAGCAATGACTGTCTGTCCGTCCGTCTGTCCGTCTGTGCACACGAAAACTCGAGTAAAAATTGAAATATCTTAAGAAAACTTCGGGCGTAGGACGGATGGTTTTGAAAATCGGCAAAATCGGACGATAACCGCGCCTACCTCATATAACGGTAATTTTCAGAAATACGAAAACTGTGATATTTTAGTAACTACTGAATATTCACTCAAAATTGATATTTACAATAATTTTTAGACGAAAAATAAGATTATAAATTTTTGGAAAATGGGCGTAGCCACGCTCACTTATGGTTACATGTTTATATCTCGGCAACCGCTGCACCAATTCCAAACTTGGCACAGTTGTTAGCCTTGCTACAGCATACCAAATGGCCCACGCTCACATCCCATATAATGGTAATTTGGAGAAATACGAAATATTCGATAAATCAGTAAAAACAAAACGTTGAAAATTGCTGAAATTGAGGCCGCTTTTCATATAACGGTAAATTTCAGAAATACTTGAAACTTCAATATTTCGAAATTAAGGGACGCTAATATACTCAAAATTGATACACCCCGGCTTAACATGTAGCGGTAGCTTTTGGAAGATGAAAATCATATATTTAATACTTGCGCCGGGTATTTAATGTTCAGCTCCGCCCGAACTTAGACTTTCTTACTTGTTTTGTATGTGATCAGGTTTGCATTCGTTCGGTTGTGTGTGTGATATTAAAGCGCTTGGCCTGTAGATGTGTACTAAGGTTTATTAACTTAAGTGTTGCCACCTGTTATAAATTTTAATTAAAACTATGTAATAAGTGAAATCGGTTATTAAAGTATGGGTATTACTATAAATTGGTTTGAAAATGCTCCATTTCTAATAAATATGTAGGAGTGTTGCCACCCGTTTAAAACATCATATTCAACTAAACTTAAAGAAGTTAGGTAAATGAAACACATACATACGTGAGGCAATTTTTTGTGAAGGAGATCAGATCTCTACAGTTCTTTCGAAAAAAATGAGATGTCAATTTAAGGACCTTGGTTTTATTTTTTGAAGTAAGAACTTCTTTAGAGGTACAGGGTGAATTGATGCAATTGATATCGATAACAAAAACCCATAAAAATATCGATTACAAAATCGATGACGAATTCGTTGAAAATTTCGATAGCAAAATTGATAATAATTTTGGTAGCAAACTCGATTAGCAAATCGATAAAAATATTGACAAAATCGATAAATAATTGATAACAAAATCGATAACAAAAATCTATTAAAAATATCGATAACAAAATCGATAAAATATCGATAACAAAGTCGATAAACAGTCGATATCAAAATCGATAACAAAATCGATAAATAATCGATAACAAAATCGATAACGAAAACGATGATTAATCGATAACAAAATCGATAAAAATATAGATAACAACCCCGATAAAAGTATCGATTATTATATCGATAAGTCCCAAGAAAACCGAAAATCTCTATATTGTATAATATATTTAACAGGTGGCAACCCTACTAAAGATGTTACCTCTTGATAAAAGAGCACAGAAATGCCTTTCGTTCGATAAAAGCGTTGAAAAATTTTACGCCACTTAAGGCTGGTATTGTCACTTGCGAAGCGAATGAAAATATAGGCGAATTTCGCCGAATTGTGACATGCGAATTCGCCGCAAATTTGCGAACGAGTGGCGAAAATGAATTTCTTGTATTGCCACTAGCGAAAATTCGACATTCGCTTCGCCAAAGCTGTCAAAATTTGTCGACTGTTTATTTTGTTCGCGTTTGAAAATGACGTCAGTAAACTTTAGTCTTATTTATTTAATAAAATCTAATTTTCAGAACAAAACGGACAACAACGCAGCAGTTCCAAAAGCTGGTTAGCATATTGGAAAATAATCCGGACGTCGCAAGAGGGATGGGGAGTTTCGGTTCCACAAAGAAGATCAGGGCAGAGTTGTGGAAGAAGTTCGCTACCGAACTTAACGCCATTGGTCCTCCAATACGAAGCGGACGCGAGTGGAATAAGGTAAGAACTGAATCAATTTGTGTGACCGTATGTATGTATGTATGTACGTATGTGTGACATATGTACTATTTAGGTTTGGTTAGACTACAAACTTAAGCTGAAAAAAAATTGCCACAAAACCGGCGCGAAAATGTGGCCACAGGAGGAGGACCGTACACGCAGCAAAGTTTAACTCCACTAGAGCGAACGGTCGATGAGCTGCTCCACCTGCAGGAAGCAGTGAACCCTACAGGCTCTTCATTTGGCACCAACGTGGCAGAAACGACGGTGAGTGCCAATGAATTAGATGCAGAAGTGCCCCTGGGCGAACAAGCTCTACAAGTGGATTTCGCACCGGGACCATCAACTCCCCGGAAGACGTACGAATTAAAAAAAGAAGAACTAAATTTATTAAAACTGAAGGAAGAAAGGAAGACAACATAAAGAAAAGATGGAAATTAAACTAAAGGAATTAGAACTAAAAACATTAAAATACAGCCAAAAGTAGGTTGGAGTATTCTTATGACCTACTTTTCGTTAGATATATTTTAACCCTCTAGTAGGGTGAACCGCCTCCAGACGGTCGTTAACTAAACACGTACATATTTAGTGCACCTATAATAATTTTTTTTCTATATTCGAAAAGCACGATCTTTAGAAAAAAAGCGTACCTTTACGACGATGTAAATTTTAATCCGTTATGTCCATCCGTTTTATTTTAATCGGCAGTTGAATCACAGATTGTGAAAGACTCGGTTAAAATTAATTATTTCTTGCTATTAAGTAATTTCGTAATTAAAGAAATTTTTTCGTTTGAAACATTTTTTGATACAAAAAAATTCAGTGGGTTTCGTAGTTAAAAGCACAGTATTTTAATATAAGTTTTATAATTATGTCACCATTCGAAATGGAAAAAATTGCTTTCGAACACAGACCGTCTACAGACCGGCTTGCCGACATATAAAAACCCAGTGTGCATTTTTGACCGTCTGCAGACGGGATTGTCGGTTCGTAGGTCAACATTGTGTAAGAGAAAGCTGAAAATACGTCAAAGTATATCGGCGAGCCCGTCTCCAGACGGGCTTTGTTTTTCTCCCCTGTAGGAAAAACTTACTGTCACAGATCGAAATGGACATCATTTTTGGATTTCTCGTGCTAAAATCACCCATTCCTAAATTTTTCAATTTCAACAAAAATTGCCCTACTAGAGGGTTAATGTTTAGTTAGTTCCTAATCATTTAGTTTAATTTCAATATTTTCTGTAAGTAACTGAATTTTTTATTTTTTATTTTAGTTTCCAAAACATGTGATGAACTAATTTTAAGTTTAACAATCTTGAAGTACTGAATTTAATTTACGATTTTTTATTAATTCTAAGTATATTTTATGAAATGACTGAATTTAATTTGTGATTTTTTATTAATTCTGAGTATATTTTATGAAATGACTGAATTTAACTTGTGATTTTTAATTAGTTAAGAGCATAGAAATAATTTTGTTTAATTTAACTTGTATGTAGCAAGGAATTCAAAAGCATGAAATTAAATAAAAAGAACACAAAGTAAATTATTTTGAATTTATTCAATAAAACGGACTACAATTCATTTTACAACAAAGCATCAGCTATTTGTCTTCGGCGACGATCCCCTGGTGTATCATTGGCATCTTCATTAAATGGTTCCGAAGATACAATGGCGTCAATAAAAACTTCAGCTTTATCTGGATCACTAATTCTAAATTTCTTACAAATGTTGTGGAAAGCGCAGCATATGTTTATAATCGAAATTACTGTAGCAGGATCGTAGCGCATTTTTCGATCACTCAGGAGGCATCTGAAGAGACATTTCAAAACTCCAATCGTACGTTCAACGACGTTCCTAGCTTTCGCGTGCTTCTTATTAAAAATTGACTCCCTAGTTCTAGAGTCTGCATGGCGGAAGGGTGTTAGTAAATAAGGACTAAGCGGGTATCCGGAATCATCTATAAATAAGTATTTTTTTGTTTTCAAATAGTATTTACATTAATTTTGCGCCGATGTAACAAATTTAATGTACCTAAATAAATAGAGTTATGATCGCCACTTTGATGCATATTCTCCAAATAAGTCTTTAATGAACTATTCAGCCCTATTCTGCATTTCGATTACGTTGCCGCATTGCGCTCCGCCGGAATCGAACTTAGGTATTCTGCGTTACGATCGAAACGAAAGAAGAAGAGGAAGAGAGAAAACACCTTTCGAAACCAGCTGTTTGCCTAGAAATGTGTGAAATCGAAACAAAACAAAGAAATATTTGCCACCAAACTATAGCAGCATATGAAGTTAGTTTGTAAATATTTTAAAATAACTAAATATACCTAGCATCACTGTAATTTAAAAATAAAATTTAAGTGGATACATAATTATAAGAAATAAATCCATAGCCGCGGCGTTATTGCTTGTAGAGAAGAACGCGTCCCAGATTGCTGATGCGGAAGTTGAAAGGTGGAGATTTAGGTACATGTTTGATCTTTTTCAGATGAGTTAAGAGTCATAAGGAATTCATTTTGAACTGTATTACTCATCGCTTAAAGTCAGTGAAATTATAAACGTTGTTTGAGCACTCCACAACATTTGTATTGACTACAGAGTGGAAGATTTGAACGCAAATGAATCCCATTTTGAAAGCCGTCAGGAGGAGGAGAAGAACAAAGCTTATCTTTCCATAGCAAATCGAATTCGAGACAACATACGCACCTATTTTTAAAAAGTTAGTAAAAACGAGTGCAATAATAAAAGCATCTTTTTTATGTAACTTCACATTTTATGTATGTATGTATCTTTGTGCATACATCTATTAATTTAATATAAAAAGAAGAAGAAAGAAGTGATTTACAGATAATGTAAACAAAAACGCCTCGACTTCCACTTTGAAAACGTCGCGCAATATCCCTTTTGGTTGCTATTATTTGAAATCGAAACAGAAATCGAGAAAATTCATTTATGATGACTTTTTCAATCATGCACAGTATATTTTACTTAAATTTTTTATAAAATTTTATTATTTAAACCCACGAAAATAACAATTGAAACGTTCTCCGTCAACAAATTTGCATCTTAGAAAAACGGAACTACGATCGTAGAATAGGTATAATCGTAAATTTCGTAAATAAATTGATCGAAAGGAAACGGAACGCAGAATACCAAAGATACCAAATGGAGAAAATTTCGATTCGAGTCGAAATGCAGAATAGGGCTGATTGTTCCACACGAACGAATCATGTGTAGAACAAGCATATCTAGCATCCACAAAACGGATATTCATGTCATGATTTAATACACAATTTGTTTATCAGTTTTGCTGTATTCATTTCTTAAAAACTTACAATCATAGCATTTATACTAAAAAAGCCTTTTCTATTTAGATGGAGGTGTCTATTTGGGGTGGGGGCATAAATCGCAATATGTTTTCCGTCAACACAGCCAATCACGTTGGGTATTCCTGATCCGGAGAAAAATTTGCTCCTTGCCTGTTGCTTCTCTTCTACTGTCATTTCAGTGATTATCGAAGCACTACAAATTTCTCTTTCTAAAATGGGCAGTACCTCCTTTAAAATGAGCGAAACTGTAGGTTGCGCAAGACCCAATTGAAATTCATTTCCTACAGCTTGCCGATAACTGCCATGCGCAAAAAATCTCAGTGCGCAACACAATTTTAGCATTGGCGTTACAGATGAGGACAGGCGGTTATTAAATTTGTCTTTGATTTTGTCCAGCACATACATACATACATAAATAAATCTATAAATACATATACATATATGCATACATTTTTCATGTTTCATTGAATAACCTATTTGCACTGGATACTTACACTGTGGACGGCAGCTCCATAGGATTAGAGTAATCTCTAATAAAACGCCGCTGACAAAGAAGGTTAGCTCGCGGTTCAACATTATAACTATCCTCAAAATATAAATCTACGTTTTAAAACATTTTGCTTTTTAAATTTTAGTTTGTAACAAGGCGA